TTTTTTAAATTCTTTTTTATTTTTTTAATTTGAAAAATTACTGACATAATATCTTTTGTTTTTAATCAAAATAAATTTCATCAATAATCTTTTATAAATGTAAATATTTTTTTTGGTATATTTTATTTTATATAATGCAAGTATTTTTTTTGGTTTAAAAAAGGTTTAGGGACTTTATCGCTCAAGATATGAATGTTCATTGGTTTTTTTCATTATTTTACTACGTTAATCAGTTTTATAGGTTATAAGGATGTACCTAACAGGTTTTAGAAAGTTCAAAGAGGTGTTTAACAGGTTTTGGAATGTTCAAGGACTTATTTGTTCCAAAAAATTGTCCAATGATTTAATCATTACAAACACTAAAGTTCATTGGATTTTTTAGACTTTTCTCTTTAGTAAAATATTAAATTAATCTTATTTATACCATGTAACACCCTCATTTTTATTTTTATTTTTTTTGTGTTACGTAATCTGAAACAAATTCCTAAATAAATACTCCAAAAGACGGCTAAAATAAAACCGTTTACAGCGGAAATCTTTGAATCAACCAAAAATTAACTTAAGTTCTAACCTACCTCATACCAGGTTAAGTTACAAAAGATCGACACAACGCTGCTAGACAAAATACTAAAAATAAGATGATAATTAACAACTCTCTAAGCGTGTCTTTTGCCCTTATCTAACCTCGAACTATCTGGCCCTGAGATGCATACTATAATCAGCTTATAAAGCTCAGTGAGTTCATGGTTTGTGTAAGTAAAATCATATCTTGACATATATGGCATATATGCATGCTTTATAATAAAAATCACAACTTTAAAAATATATATATTTAAAACACTGAAAATAAGAGATCTCATATAATGTTTAGTCGGGTATGGGTCATTTAGTCACAAACACACCCTGGGTTGATATGTCAGTCTTAATTGATCACCCACTTATCTGGGGTCGTGTTTTATACTGGTCGTGACTTGCTGGTCAAATGCCCACCCTTAAATCGTAAAACTTTAATATGGAATAACATGCTAGAGTTATTCGAAAACTGATTAAACACATAGCATGTCATACATGTAAAATATATCATAACATGTATGTAATTGAAATATCATGCATACGTACACATCATCAACAACTCATCATGCAAAAATAAATTTGTACTTAGGTATGCATCTCAGTGAAATCTCATGAAGGCTCACCTGATAACGAAGGTTGCTTAACTAACGTCGCTGACTGGTAACCTACAATTTATAATAGCGAATAACATATAAATGATTAATTTCTCCCAAAGGCTAACATAAAAGTCAACTTACGGTCAACTACGTCGACTAGGGTCAACCTTGGTCAACTATGCTTAAGAACGCTTCTCACATCAATTAAAATTATAGGAACCGTGAGTTCCGACATAAGGTGTATCGTCTAGCTATATATCTTAAAACGATATCACAAACGTGATTATTAAGTTATCTATTATATGATAGACATGTTAATAATTACATATTTCGAATTAAAAGCGTCATAATAAATTTACAACTCGAGTAACACTTCGTATAGTCAATTATTCATTTTATAACTCTATAAAATTATCTTTTATAAAATAAATGTCTAGACGATATATATATATATATATATAATATAAAACTCAAGAGCTACGCTTTAATCTCAATAAAAAAAATCATCTAATTATCCCTAAATAATTACATAGTTAAAGTAGTAAATTTCAACATTGACAGTATTTTTACAAAACAACATGGTCTCGTATTGCTCAAAATACACACTCTTTAATTTTAAAGGCATTTTGGTAATTTTAAAAAAATAAATAAAGTAAAGTTGAAATCTACACATCTAAAAATTTCCAAGGAACTTTCTGGAGTTAATAAAATTTTAGAAGTTAAGTTTAATTTTCTAAATTTTGGGGTTATAATAAAAATTTATTAACAAAAGTCAGTTAATTATTAAACATAAGGAATTTCTAATCCTAAATAACATGAAATGGTGTCTTATCAAAATGGTTAATGCATGCCTCCCCTCAACAGGAAGTCATGAGTTCGATCCCTATGCTCAACACATATAATCATTTATTTTTAATGGGTCAAAATACAGGTTTATGGGTCGGATTTGGGCCCGACTCAACCCGGTCGAAACCCCAAAAATACCCAGCAGCCATGGCTACGTTAATTCCCGATTTTGAGCTCCGATTTGACCCTTTTTTGATCTTTTTTCCTCATTCTTTTTGTACTAAAACCTTAGTAATATTTTTACCAACATTTTGACATAATAAAAAATAAATTTTCGTCAAGAAATGAGTTCCATTTTCTCATTTAAAGTTTTAGTTTTAAACTAACCGAACGAAACTTTAAACTTCAAAATCGAACCATAAAACACCAAATCTGAAACATAAGGCTACTAGGGTTCCATAGAGGACTAAAAAACGAAGCTAACCATATAAAGAACATGAATTTTGGCTGAATATTTTACCTCTAATCGACGAGAAACGATGATTTTTTGACTTGAACTTCAACTCCGGTTTTCTCCTTCAAAACTCCACGAAAAACCGAGTGGTTTCGAGCTAAATGAAGAAGACAACGAGACCTACTTAAATCTTGTTTTATTTGGCTTATTCGTTGACCAACCGAGCCAATAGGAGCTCTCTAAACATTTCATTGAAAAATCGTTTTCAAATTTTCAGAGTTTGTACTATTTACAAAACAGGTCCCTCAAAGTTGGATCACTTTTCACCAGACACTACCCCTGTACTATGAGAAATGACCTACAACCCCCTGGCTTGATTTTTTCTTTCACTTTTGGTTCGATTTTTAAACTTCTTTTAATTTCTTTATTTTAATATATATATATATATATAAGTACGTGTGTGTTTTATAATTCAAAAAGAAAAAAAATGAAAAGAATATTAATGAAGGTAAAATTATTTATTCCTCGAAATTTTGGGTTTTACATACCAAATTTGTATATACTTTTGTTTGATTCTTATAACTGTTATAAATTTCAGAAACATTTCTATAAGATTACAAAACTTAAATTTATATCTGAAAGGAGGTAGAAGTCCCACGGGTCGTGAATTTCTTTTCCCGGAGAAGAAGCAATGACGGTATCTGGAGAATACGAAGCTTCACTGTTCCCTGGGATTGGCTGGATACTCTGAATCATAGAACTCTAATGAAATATATGATCAACCAGTGTAGCATGCCTGAATCTAAATGGGGTTCGCGGTGGTGAAGGAAATGGATCGAAAATAAAATCTCTTATATCGAATTCAAAGTGGTTCCCTTATTAGGGATCCCTGGGGAAGAGGATCAAGTTAGCCACTTGTTCATCATTAGAGGACATTATTCGTAAGAATTTTCCCTTATTTTTTCTGACTTTCTTTATAAAATTTTCTAATTTATGAATACTAATCGGTTAACAGCCGACCGCTCTACCACTGAGCTACTAGGAACAATGAGACGTTGATAAGATCCATCCATTTAGCAGCTTATACCTTATAAGTCATTATAAACTTCTAGGGGTGCTTATGGGTTGGGTTGATCAGGTTGAAGACATTAAATAACTCAACCTAAAATTGACGATTTGAAAGTTTTCTATCCAACCCAACCTAACCCATGTGGGTTGGTCAGTTTGATAGAGTTGTGTTAAAATAAAATAAAATCAACATTGAGAACATAAAAAATAAAGGAAACATTCGTTTGAAATATGTTCAATCATTCAAGAGAATATACGAGTTTATCAAATATTTATGTACTACATATAACCTTTTAGTAATGTCCTTCTATGAGTTTCATTGCTCGTTATTCCGAGTCGTTTTTGGTAACCTATACATATTAAAGAGAAATACAAATAATTTAGAGAAAACCGCTAAAACTTTATCGGGTATCAGGTTGGTCGGACCGTTTACTTTGGACCTAACCCAATTTCAACCCAATAAATTCGGTTTGTCTTAATTTCGTATAGATTATATGACGGGTTAACTCAGATTGAGTTTTTCAAGTTGGGTTATCTGGGTTGATCGTTTTTTGATCACCCCTCTCCCCAAAACCTAATTTTGTTTGTTTTATTCAATTAGATGCAAGCATTTTATATGAAATAAACATTTTTATAGTCTTGATATTTTAAAATCATATATGATAAAAAATAATCAGAATATTTTGTGACTATAAATGCTCCAACAAAAGTCAATGGTTGAAAATTTTACGGATTCCTTTAATGGTTTCTTTCACAACAATATTGACATGAATATAACTTTTCCTTTTAAGTATATAATAATTTTTTTTTATTAATCTGGATATCCAACCCGCTAATCTGCTATGCAAGCTGACTAATTTCAGGACGACCATCTGCTTTGCAGATAGCCCGAAATCAGCGCATTTGAACCTCCGTGGCCACCAAGGGGATTTTTATTTCTCCTTGGATTTGAACTTGAGACTTTCTGGTACTTTTGATCTTTGGAGCCAAACTCAAACCAATCAGGCACCACCCTTGTGGTTGTATATAATAATATTTATATATAACAAATATAAAAATTAAATTTACACATCCTCCTTATTTTTAATGAGGTTTGAACTCTTAATCTTTCAAAAAAAATAAAGACACTGGATACCGCTAGGACAAAATCTCTTTAGATTATGTTTTCTGTATTCATGTTTTAAGATTTCTTTAAAGATGAACAATAGTCAACTTTCTGCATTTATTTTTTCTTTTGAAAATTGATGGACTCCGTGACCTTCTTCTCCGCCACAAATAAAAAGTGGGAAACCATAGAAGCGGTAGGGTGTTGATAAAGAAACGGATGATAGAATTGGTGAATGATTGGTTTCAGAACAGTGAGAAACGTAGGAAGAAACTTAAATCATTGATCACTTTTAATCTCATGTCCACTTATGATTATGCTTTAGAACAAAATTAATCTGGTATATCTTAGTGTACCTCATTAGCTAGTGTTGATATCCAATTAGGATTGATCCAAGGGTCGAGATCTCTTCTTACGTGTTTTACAATAACTTCTGTTCTCACCGGAACCCAACCCTGATAAAATTAACTCGGATTTAAATTCTATGATTTACATATACTATATGTTTGTTGTCAATGAAAGATTTATCTCAGTGTTGTAGACGATGTTTTGTATAGTATTGGCAGGGATGGACCCAGAATTTTTTTCAAACGGTGGCACCATTTGACTATAAGAAAAAACTATAGGGAAAAAATTTCAAATAATGGTACCGGTTGACTATAAAAAACAAATATATATAATATTTTTCAATTGGTGACACTATTTAACTAAGAAAATGACACTAACAAGATTTGAATTTAGGTCTGGAGTGGAATAAAAGCCTTGCAAACCAACTCTACCAAATAAAACTTGTTTTCATTGTAGTTTCAAAATACATATAGTGGCACAGAACAGTTTAATACGGTTGTACCTTTCACGAACCTAAATTTTTTTACCCTTCGACGGAGAAATAATACGGTGGCACCACCATGTGTATTGGGTTTTGTGGTTAGAATTACTTGGATAATTTTCTATATCGTGTTTGAAAATCACTTTCTAAATACTGTATCTCGCCCCTATTATGCCTTGGGTTTATATGAAATTAGTACCGGGATAATCTAAAAAAATCATATGCGAAATAAAACACTACTTTGATCACGAAATTATATATTTATAAGGAAGATCGACGGTTACGACGGTTAAACGGACGTAACCATTAATATTTGCCTCAAATCAGCGACGGTCTTAGACAAGATCGCGGATTTCTATAAATAGAAAACGAGGAAATCATCACTACACATCCAAAAATCTATCCACATGGATATCCCTTCATACTTTCTTCCAACACTGATACTCTTCTTTACCTTCATCTTCATATACACTTTACGCCGGAAAACCTCATCCACCACCACCTGTAACCTTCCCCCTAGCCCTCCATGGCTTCCGGTGATCGGAAACCTTCATCAAGTGCTTGGAAAAGACATCCATCGAACCCTGTGGGATCTCTCCCAGAAATACGGTCCGGTTATGCTTCTTCACCTTGGTACCCAACCATTTCTCGTCATTTCCTCTACTGAAATGGCCAGTCAGGTCCTAAAAACACACGATCCGGATATGTGTACGCGACCGATCTCTCAGGGTTCCAAGCGATTATCGTTCAACTACATGGACGTTGCCTTCTCGCCTCACAGCGATCATTGGAGGGAAATGCGAAAGGTTTTGGTATCCGAGTTCTTGGGTGCTAAAAGGAGTAGAATGTTTAAAAAGGTAATGGAGATAGAGATGGAGAGTCTGGTTCGTTCTCTTTCTGCAAACACCATTGTTAACCTAGATGACAAGCTTTTACATCTGGTAGATGATGTTGTTTGTAAGGTTGCATTAGGTAAGAGCTATAGAGATGAGATGTTTAATGGTAAAACAACGAAAGAGATAGTTGATGAAACTGTAGTCATGCTCAGTGGTTCGTTTTCGGATATTTTTCCGACGTTTGGGTGGATTTTGGATAAATTAAGTGGGTGGAATCGAAGGTTGGAGAAGTGTTTTAGTGATTTTGATGGGTTTCTGCAAATGGTTCTTGATGAACATCTTGATCAGAATGCCAGAAAAGATAGCGATCATGAAAATGATCTTGTTGATGACTGTATTTCTCGGCTGACTGCTGATGAAATGAAGGGACTTCTGATGGTAATTGAACACTTTTCTTTTAAAATTATTTGATGATCAACACATTTATTGTTTGACTGTATATTAGAAATTTTAGACATATTTGATGTAATATGGTAATGACTTTGAGAATTTATATAAACATCACAGAATGTGCTTAACGGAGCAATCGACACAAGTGCTGTAACCATGGTGTGGGCAATGTCCGAGATCATTAAAAATCCCCGAATAATGCAAAAGCTGCAAAACGAAATTCGAAGCTGTGTTGGAAGAAAATCGAGAGTGGATGAATCAGATATCACGAAGATGAGATACTTGAAGATGGTAGTGAAGGAGACGCTACGATTGCACCCTCCTCCTCCATTTTTGATCACACGGGAATGCGTAAGCCGGTGTCAGATCGGTGGATACGATGTGTTCCCCGGGACAAAAGTGATGATCAATTCTTGGGCGATCGGAAGGGACCCAAGAATCTGGAAAGAGAACCCAACGGAGTTTCATCCAGAGCGGTTTGAAGAAATTCAGGTCGATTTCGGAGGGAAGCATTTTGAGATGGTGCCGTTTGGAGGGGGCCGAAGAGCGTGTCCAGGGTATAATTCGGCTGTTTCGACCGTAGAGTTTACGMTTGCAAACCTTCTTTACTTGTTCGATTGGGAAACAGTAAAGAAGGGAGATTTGGACATGGAAGAGGAAGGATTCCAACTTATTCGTAGGAAAACACCACTTTGCCTCGTGCCCATAAAGTACAATGGCCAACAACAATAATGCTTTCCTTTCTCTAGACTTCAAAATTAAATAAGGTTTAGTTTAATTAATTAACGATGTATTTTGAGACTATTTCCTTCCACGTTTCGTTTGACTTTTCTTGAATGAATGATTGGTATTAAAGAAATGTCATAAGAAACGTAGGGCCATCAAGTTATGGTGATTGCATGATCTGACACTCTGATAATAACCTCGATGAATGTAACGTATTCCTTACAAAACATGAATTTCATCCAAAAAAAACTATTCAAGGAAATTTGTCTCGGTAATTATCTCTGGATCATCCAGAAAATACCAATAGTTCGATAAAATCTGATGTTTTTCGAGAAAATACTAACGGATCACCCAAAGAATACCTGAGTAATCTGTCACTGATTTGAATTACTCACCCATAATTTACCCATCAACTTCTTTTGACAATTTTATGACAAATCACTTTTTAACGACAGATTTCTCAACGAAAGGTTCGTAATCAAAAGTCTTCCCTTTGATAGTTTGCAATATACATGGATTCCCTTGGGTCTTTCATAAGCTTGTCCCTAAAAAAACGATTTTGGTAAATAACCAAATATGATACTTGGGCTAGGTATAACTTTCCTAGCTATAACACAAAAAATCTAATTATGACATCTTTTCTCCCCCATTTCACACCCACTTCCTTTTTTGTTTATCGGTTTCGAGAAGGGCAAAATGCATAAAATAACAATCTACTTGTATAAATTTTTTTATTATAACATTGTACTTTCAGTTTTTCTTATTACAACAATGTACTTTCGAACTATTTTTTTATTAGGACATTGTATTTTGAAAAATTTACCTATTATAGCATTGGGTAACCTTTTTATTTAAATTTACCCATTATGCTAGGTTTCCATGCTACCTCATTGTCCATATAGGTTGTCCACATGTACTATAGTGATGCGACTTTCTTATTATAGTATTGCACTTTCAAAATTATTTTATTATAGTATCTATTAGTTCTTATTAAACAATTTACTTTTAATTTTAATGTTTAGATATTTTACATGTTATTTAATAAATATATTAAATGAATTAAAAAAATTGTTCCTTTTTTACAAAAAATATTATCTTTTAAAGAATATATTATATTTGTTCAAAAAAATTTATTTGACGTACAAATATATTAAATCAATTAGATTTTTTGAATTATTTATTAATATAACAATATTAAAAATTGTAGATCACAATTTATTTCGTTAACATTTTAGAGAGAACTTTAATAGTTATGTATTTTTTTAACAACATAAAATAAGAAGTGTTGTTTTTTTTACAAAAAAAAATATATCTCGAAAATAATGTACCGTATTTATTTAAGAAATATTTTACTCTAGAATATTTAATTTGCATGCAATATAATAAAAAAAATCAAAAAAATTAAATGTTTTTTTAAACCATATCAATGAAAAATGAAAATCACTAATAATAATTTGAAATAAGTTTTTATTTTAGTGAAGTCATCAAAATGATGTGTCATCCACATCATCTCATTAAGGCCACACAAGCAAAAAAAATCAAGTGGTTAATTGGTTTAAAAGATAACAGGTTAACCCATTGCTATAATAGGTAGATTTTTTAAAGTACGATGTCTTAATAAAAAGTAATTTGAAAGTACATTGTTGTAATAAAAAAATAAAATACTATAATAAAAATTTTTATAAAAATAAATTGTTATTTCATACATTTAACCCGTTTCAAAAATATCTTCATTAATAGGTCTTGATTACTAGTGAAGTATTGTTAGTATATATTATAATATTTTCTAAATAATTGTTTCATTTATATTCTTGACTCTTCAGGACAATCTAGAAGAATAAAAAGAATAATAAATTATAAATTAATCAAAATAATATAAAGAGTGAATTGTGATTTCCTATGTGTTTTGATGTTTACTATGAATAGGATTCGTATGCTATGTTTTTATTATACATCTGGAATCTGGTATTCCTAGTGCTCAATTTGTTATTTCATGGTTCTTATAATCAAGGTTTTATGATGAGATCAAACTTCAAACCTTACGAGTTACGATGAGACAACAACGTTAGTTTTATGAATATACGGTTGAAAAAGTTAGATTCATATAAAGTAATAAAAAAAAAAAACCATTGGTATCAAGTATATCGAGCCTATAAAAACTAATATTAAGAGTGCTAAATCGGGTTTAAATCTCATGAATCTTTACTTACTGCTTTCTTCAAATTTCGAAGAATTTGTGTTCGACTCTTTGTGTACGGAAATGAGAGTACGTATTTATCTATTTTAGGTTTTAGTTCTTGGATATCCTTTTTGTGTTTATTTAATTTTTAAGTCTCGTATATAATTAACATTTATCCTTTTAAGTTATATATTTAAAAATAACGCGTCACGTGCCATAACGTGTTACAACGCAATCCAAGCCTTAGAGTGAGTCATAAGAGTTAACGTGGCATTGAAACCAAACCTTGATGCCATTACAAATTTATTTAGAACTACGCTTGTGACTAATGAGCCGTTTATCAAATGTTTATCCGATAAGCGCTTACCCGCAAGAGACATTACCCTCACTTACCTTATCATGTAACATTATCAATCATCAAAACGGATTGTTGGTAAGCATCTTGAAGCCAGTAAGCGTTTAACGAGTAAGAGTCATCACCCCTCATTTACTAAGTAAGACTCTTGATCTTTGCGTTCCCTCTTATCAGGTAAGATTTTCGGTCCTTATTATGTTCATTCGGGAAGATAATTGAACAGATAAGTGCTTACCAAAGTAAGTATTTAGCAAAGGCTTTGAACATTGTTAAAAAAACTCTATTAACTATAACCATACTGGGTCACTTACCTTACTGGATAAACATGACAAAGGTCGAAAACCCACCTAGTAAAAACAATAATAAGGATTGAGAGTCTCACGCAGTAAGTGAATGCGACTCTTACTCAATAAAAGCTTACTGTATAAATTGTTGCATACAATATATCGTTTCGATAAATAACAATCTTATCCAGTAAAATAAGTTAGAATGTTAACTCTTATTGGTAAAAGTTTGGGTATGTAAATGGTCCCTAAGTTGAATCATGGAGCATTTTGATCTTTTTACGCAATCTTGTTTTGTATTTTTCCCTAAAATAAATAATAGATATTATCTATACTATATTATAAAATATTTGACAAAAACTCTTAAAAACAATTTTTATGCATGAAGTACTGTTTATTGACGCATATTACTTAAAATTTAAGATTACAAGTAATTTTACGTAAGTACAATTTATTAAACCTTTATTTTTAAATTCGTGTAACTAACTGCTGATAAACATAATTAAATAAATGATAAACATCCATTTTAAATATAGAAATCTAAAATATAATTAAGATAATTATTGAGTTTTAACATAATGTTTAATTATTATCTTTATAAAAAATTATATT